TTAAGGGCTGGCTTGACCCTGTGGTCGCCTCTAAGATCCAGTTCACCAAGAATGTCCAGGACTTGGAGAAGTTCATTCCCAAAGATCGCATTATGAAAGAGCTTGAAGGTGACGAAAATTGGGCCTACAAGTATGTCGAGCCTCAACCCGACGAGAACAAACTTCAGGAGGACACAGCCAAGCGGGACGAAATGGTGGCCGAGAGACAGCAGCTGGCGCAGGAGCTTCAAGGCGCCACCATCGAGTGGATTTCTTCGACGATGAAGAAGGATGAGAGCGCCGTCAAGGCGGCGGTAGACAAGAGAAAGGACCTGATCGAGCGCTTAAGAGTCCAATACTGGCAGCTTGACCCATACGTTCGGGCCACCTCCTTGTACGATAGACTAGATGTCATCCAAGGTGAGGGTAAGATCGAGTTCTATCCCACGAAGAGCAAGGTCGAGGGAAACGCACTTCACGACGAGAAGGCCGAGTAATACGCTCCGGGCCTTGGTATGAGGATAGACTGTTAGAGTGTGTTGATAGAGGACTACTTGTCATAATAACGCTCACATCGTGAGAGCATGTACATACAGCTTCTACCTGTCTGTCATGGAGCATGTATACTTGGATTGCGGTTTTCGTTGGTGGGTTTAAATGGAGCAATGGATTTTTCTTGATAGATGCATTCCCACAGAAGTTGGCTATCATCTTCTGTATCATAGCTTACAGTGTGTACCCTACAGATATTCCAATTGTGAAAGCAGAACTGATAATAATAGCACATGGCATGTAAATAGACGCAGCCGTAGCACTTGCTATATCCGTACTACTTACACATTTACATCTTAGCCTTGAGCTCCTCGAACAGAGCCTTCAGCTTATCCATATCGGTTTCCTGAGCGGGCCAGCCGACACCGAGACCTTCCTTCTCGTTAGGCTTGGGGATCTGTTCCAGCATCCTGTTAGCAAGTGAAAGTAACCAATGGCATCATGAACCGTGACGGAGTCACATATGCTCTTTCTCGAGGTTTGTGATGACATACCATGTGGAAGTGAACCTGAAAACACCAAACATCAGCATTAATCCCCCCCTCCAATACCTATAGAAGAATATTCAACTTACATGATCAACAACCTGGTGCGCTATGCGACCGTTGTTCTGGAGGATATTGAAGTCCTCAGCGCCAGTGACCTTGGCGATCTTCTTTGCGACGGGCTGTTTGATTTGTTGAACATTCCTTGTTAGTATCCATTCGTGTGGCGAGCTAGCTAGGTAGTAGGCAGCTGCGGGGAAGACTGAAAGAGGAGGAGAAGGGGAGGGGGGGTAAGTGCTCGCAGGGTCCTCGATCAGGCGGGACCCTTATAAAAGCATGCGGATCGAGCCCTGAGCTTATTTCACACGTGTGCATGTCGGTGCTGTCTATACGTACAAGGATTTCCTGAAGATCTTCGTCGGGGATGTCGGTGAGCTTGGCTCCGTGGTATTTGGGGATCACGAGCTGTGGTTTGGAGGGTTGGATGTTAGCTTGGTTTGGTTTCTTGTTTTGGTCGTCTTTGGGAAGGGAGATATGTGGAGGTTATGGGTTTATTGAGGGTCTGGAATTAAAGTGTTGGGGTGGGATTTGTGGATATAGTGTTGGTTTTGAAGGACTGTCGACTGCATCTCTCGATGTAGGGAGCAGAATGCGACATGTCGTGCGGGGGTGTATTTGAGGCGGTGGTTTATATGTATGCAGTTCACAGAAGAGGGACGGCAACACTTACAGCGTGTCCACGGCTAAGAGGCTGAATATCGAGGAAGGCAAAGACCTTGTCGCTCTCGAAGAGCTTGAAAGAAGGGATATCACCTATTGTTTACGTCGGGTTAGCCGGATCGGATCACTGCTACCAGCGGGCGCAGTTGAGGAACAAAGAATATAGTAGTTGTAGGTGTGCAGAGGTAGGAGGCATTGTACCCTTGATGATCTTGCAGAAGATGCAGGCAGCGGAAGACATCTTGTGTGACGAGGTTGAGTATATACGTCGATGGCAATCAATGTATTGTCTGAGGGGAATTGAAGGTCGCAATGACTGAATGCGGGGTTAGCAATCAAGGCGGAAGAAGAACGAAAAGATAGGTTGAGGGAAAAAAGGTTCGTGCCGGCGAGGTCTCGAACTTGCGGCGGGTGGCTGACGGAAGGTACTATAAGAAGTAGTTTAAGGTAGAATCTGCGAGGAGTGGGACAAACTAGCTCAGAACCCATTTCTTGCCTTTTACCAGAGATGGCCGTGGTTTGCCCAAAAGACTCCTCTCATCAATCTTTGGAATCACCCATCGACACAGCTGTCGATTTTATTGTTTTTCTTTTTCTTGATCGTTATTGTATGATGTAGGTAGATTGTGTGCCTCTTTTCTTGCAACTTTCTACCCCCTTTTATGGTAGTTTTCGAGAAAGGGGTGCGTTTGCGTTGCCTTTAAGGGTGCGTGTGCGTAACTGGCTATACTGAGCGACCAAGTCCATAAAGCTAAGGGGAACGAACACATGGTTGCCGGCTACCAGAAACAGTTGTCTTCATACACTTACCCATTATTGATGACTATCAGTATCTTTCGGTCAATTGAAGCACTTGTCCTGTATAGTGTGCTCAAGCACTGATAGAGTCTTCCGCAAGCGGGAGCCCTTCCCCCTGTGTCTCTAGCAGTACATGTCGGTTGTTTGAATCGTTGGGTGGATGCAATTGTCCTCTTAGCCACCAGGTACTCGCAGCCTCGGAAACTTATACCGTGCAATTAACATGGCATTTGAAGCCTACAAGGTGAACAAACTTCGCCCTGAGTCAATCCGTCATTCAGCAAGGTTCCAGTCCGTATGGCTGGTCCGTCTTGCATTGGTCAACCCACTACTACAACTGCTCCACGCCCTGTCAATCGGTAATCAGACAGGCTAACCGTGACCCTGGAGGCCCTCCCTACCCCTCACCATCGATAGAATCGCCCATTGCCGAGCTACTCTTGTACCTTCCTATATAAGCGGCCAAGACCGTTAGAGTATGAGGAAACGCTCCATCGTCACCCAAATCTGCGGATATCTGATTCGGTGGAAAGCCCGAGACCCCAGCTCAACCCCACCCAGCTATCTTATCATACTGTCGATTGGGCCGTCTTATCTGGAAGGGTCTCCAACAATAAGGCCATTGAACAAGATATAGCCCCCTTGGGCGCTCGCTCGGCTCAAGATGGCCTCCATCTTCTACCAAAGATTATCTGCTGCCAGGTTTACTGGGATCCTATCCAAGCAGACAAGATCAGCCTCCGCGAAACCCGCATTCACACCTCCACGTCGCGCTTTCTCAGTTACCACGACTCACACCATGCTGTCTACGGAGCTAACCGAGGCTGAGGTCTCGGCTCTCAGGGCCAATAAAGAACGTTTGGCGAAGGACCTCCATCATAGCTGTCAGTGGGGATATGGCATCCGCTGGGGAGAGTAAGTGTTACTGTAACACCCTTTGGAATCACTACAAGCGGTCTTTTGGGTTTATGCAAAGGAGCTGCTTGACATACCCAATGGCCTGCGTTTTGCCATGGATTGAGAGTTGGTCTAACAGCAATCCAGTGGGCACACAGACACTGGCATGCAGCGACTCGCGCTGTCGCAGGAGGACAAGCAAGTACGGGACTGGTTCATTGAGACAACAAAGGCATTGAAATGCGAGGTCACGGTGGATGAAATGGGTAACATCTTCGCTGTTCGCCCTGGACGACGGACTGACGTCCCACCCACTTTCATTGGCAGCCATCTGGATACGCAGCCGACAGGTGGCCGGTATGATGGAATTCTGGGTGTGCTCTCCGGTATTGAAACGCTGAAAGTAATTGACGAAATGGGATTGGAGACGGAAGGTGGAATTGGAGTTGTCAACTGGACAAAGTACGGCCCGGATTGCTATTACTATGCTTCAACTCACATCGCTAACACTATCACAGCGAAGAGGGTGCCCGGTTCCCCATTAGCATGGTGTCTTCTGGCGTTTGGGCAGAATGCATCCCTCTCGAACGAGCACATGGGCTTAAAGAAGTCCCAACAGTCGCATCTCTCCCGACCGCATCTTCTGCCCCAGAGTCTATGAAGTCTGCGTTGGAGAAGATCAACTATCTCGGAAGTGTCCCGTGCTCATACAAGCAAACACCCATGGCGGCCCACTTCGAGCTACACATCGAGCAAGGCCCCCATCTTATCTCTGCAGGCCAGCACGTTGGTGTCGTTACTGCTGTTCAGGCATACCGCTGGTTCCACCTCACGATCTTCGGCAGAGATACCCACACGGGTACTACCGCGTTCGAACACCGTGCAGATGCCCTATATGCCTTTGCTCGTATGATGGTACGTGCTCGTGAGGTTGCCTCCTCCCACGGCTGTCTGGCTAGCGTTGGAATTGTAGAGGCAAAGCCCGGCAGTGTGAACACAGTTCCCGGCACTGTCAGCTTCACTCTCGACATTCGCGGCCCAGAAAGCGAACTGGTCCAGGTTGTAGAAGACCAATTGAGAAAGGAGTTCGATTCGATCGCCGCAGAAGAGGGTAAGGGTATTGGCAAGCCTTGCCGCGTAGAGTGGACCCTTGACTTCGATTCGCCCGCTGTCAAGTTCCACCCTGACTGCATCGAGTGCGTGCAGCAATCCGCGGAGGCGGTCGTTTCGGACGTTAATGCAGCGGAGCCCAAGTCCCTCATGCGGACAATCATGAGCGGTGCGGGCCACGATAGTGTCTTTACCTCCAAGAGAGTGCCGACCAGCATGATCTTCGTTCCCTGCAAAGATGGGCTGAGCCATCACCCGGAGGAGTTCTGCTCCGCAGATGACTGCGCAACAGGTGCATCAGTCATCTTGCAAGCAGTGATCCGTTATGATCGAAAGAGGTTCTCGAGATGAGCTGCGTTGACAGCGGGTGCCTATAGTTGCGCCTCTGCATACATCTCGATATTGCCTTTTGATATATCAACCGCATGTATATAGCAGCAAATTTAGCAGCCATTTATCTTACGAAGTGGAAAATTAAATGAAGTCATGAAATCATGCCATTAATCCTAACTATATCATAACTGTGAAACAGTAGCTTGGCATAACTTCTTTTTTAGGACGTGCACGGTACAGCTTCCCGACTTCTTTCAAAGTCGTTCAAGCCACACCGGCAACAATCCCATTAAGCCCTTGGAAGACCGGCAGGCGACACCCCTTAGGAGGAGGGAGCACCACGGCCACGGCCGAATCCACCACGGAAGCTGGGAGCGAACTCGCCGGGGGCACCGCCCTCCTTGTTCTCCTCGCGGCGGCGGTAGCCACCCTCACGAGGAGCACGGGGACGACGCTCACGCTCCTCACCGCCCATCATGCCACGAGGGGGAGCGTGGGAACGCTGCTGCTTGATGTGGGTGGCGGGGACAACCTCAGCGGGGAGGTGGAGCCACTCACGGAGGTAGTCAAGACCCTATATCAAACCAGTCAGACAATCCGCCCTTATCGTATCCTGCGTCGGATATAATCATGGAATTAAACGTACCTCGGGGGTGAGGGTGTAGTAGTAGTACTGCCACGAGAACTGGGTCTTGACGAAACCACGGGAGGTCAGGGACTGGCAGGCCTTGATCACGTAGAGGTTCTTGGTGTCAATGTCGCCATGCTTGGGAAGGTTGAAGTCCTTCTTGGCCACGAGCACACCCTCTATTGTTAACCGTCAGTATGACTGATTCATCCATCATCCATCGATCGACCGTCGCGCAACATTTCGGGGAAACAAGGTTCGGTCGATATAGGTGTTCACATACCGCGGAAGAGGTACTCGTGGATCTTCTTGCGGTCTTCCTTGGGGATAAGCCTGAATCAGGGTTAGCTACATCATCCTATATGATATCAATGGCCGATATTAGGTGCATCACTTACATTGTCGCGAGTTCCTAGCGCTCTTCGGGGAATCGCCTTGACAACGCGCGAAGAGGGTGGTTTAAATGTAGTTGATGTGAGTGGAGCGGCTGCGGTCGAGAAAAAAGTGCGGTAATTCCCCATCGGGAAGCGGTTTCAGGGTTGGCGCCCTAATCGCTCCGCTAGGCGGATAAGCTGCATCACGTGCAATATGCGTTTTGGCCTGAGGCTACAAAGATGTAGTTTCCCGGTTAGTCATCAATGGCCTTATCGGGAACTCCTCCGCATCCTGAATGAAGTCAACTGCGCCTCACCTCTGCAAGCGATCATCTCCACCTTCAACGAGCAGCAACAGTCTCAGCGCTTCGAGTACTCGGTATATACGCACTGCTTAACTAACGGTCTCTGCGATATCACCAACCATCATGGCGTCCCAAAACGTCAACATTCTCCTGTCGACCTTTCCCGGTCTCTCACTTCCATCAACACTCTCCTTCGCGTTACCATCATCATCCAGCGTAGCTGACCTGACGGACAAAATCGCCTCATACCTGCCTCCTTCTCTGCCACTCAACCGTCTGGTCTTGACAACAACCAGCAACAAGCAACTTCTCCCCTCATCCGAATCCATCGCATCCTACCTCATCAGCACCAATGACAACCTCGCCACAGCCTCCATTCTCCCCCTCCGCCTCAGCGCCCCCCTATGCGGTGGTAAGGGAGGTTTCGGATCCCAGCTCCGTGCCGCCGGTGGGCGCATGTCCAGCAAGCGCAAGCGCAACCAAGGCGACGACAATGGATCCAGCCGCAACCTCGATGGCCGTCGTCTACGCACAGTCAACGAAGCCAAGGCATTGGCCGAGTACCTCGCCCTCAAGCCGGAGATGGACAAGAAGGAGAAGGAGGAGCGTCGGCGCCGGTGGCAGGCTGTTGTTGAGGCGGCAGAGAAACGTCAAGAGGAGCTGAAGAACGGAGGCGGCAAGCAGAAGATTGACGGTCAGTGGATGGAAGACAAGGACGAGATGAATGAGAAAGCGAGAGAGGCGGTCCTTATGGCTATGAAGGATGGTATGTGGACGGATAATCTTCGCGATACGATTCTGGGCGGATCAAGTACGAGTGCTAGCCCAAGTGAGGGAAGTGGTCAGGAGACGCCCTCCAGCTCCGAGGAGGAAAGTGATGATGAGCAGGAGATGGAGGATGCACCTGGACCGTCGTCGTCGGAGCCGGCGCGCAATGCGGCTCCTCGGCGGTATATTGGTTTTGATGAGGATGACGAGTTTATGAGTGACTCGGAGGAAGAGGAGGAGGCTGAAGATCCTAAGGGGAAGGGAAGAGCCAAGGCTTGATTGAATGCCACTGAATGTTCCTTTTCATGCGATTACGGCGTATGGTCTACGGTTCTGGTTGTTTTTTTCATGTTGCTGGCTTGTTGTTGATATCAGGGTTTGCGAAGCACGGTTATTTCATCTTAAGCTCCATAGCTAGCGTACATATTCTATCGAAAATAATATCTTTCACAATAATCACCTCTCCTTAATTATCTTGTATTCCAACAGCACCCAACACCCCGTATTAGCTATGATAGAACCAGCTAGTCAGTTCGCCACAGCAACTTTTTTCCGGCCGCCGGCGCGGACCACCAACGCTATCGCCGCTATCACTCGCTATCAGTAGACTAGACTTTCATCGCATTTCTTCCCCGAGCTCTCCAACATCCCCAAACCTCACCAACCATGTTGCCATACCTCGGGCGCATAATCCCACGAGGGCGCCTACCATACCACCGAGCGCCTTTACAAATATCCCGCCTTCGCAGACCGTGCCTGCGAACAACAACCGCTATTTTCTCTCCCCGTCCGGAGGTACTAGCCCGCACCCAGCTACGCAGCTTTTCCACGAGTATTCCTCTCCGCGCAAGCCCGGCTCCTGAACCAACAATTGAAGAAGCTGTCCTCCCCGTCTGCTGCCCTGGATGCGGTGCGTATGCGCAGACTGTTGAGCCGAACGAGCCTGGGTTTTATGGGAAGACTAGGAAACAGACGCGGAAGCTCTTGTCGGAGACGAAGCAGGTTGTTGAGGGTGAGGGAATTGGGGAAGAAGAGTCCGGATTGAAGGCTGAGGGGGAGAAGGCGGCGGATCGGATTCAGAAGTATCTGGAGCTTACGAATGTTGGGGGGAGTGTGCCGAGGCCGAAGTGTGAGTGATCATCTTCTCTATCTATCATGCAATGGTGGGTTTGGTTCATATGCTAACTGATTGATTCCTGTTGTGCAGTTGGTGCTTCTTTGGTGAAAGCGGCTGATACTGCTGGCAAGTATCTGGAGAAGTCGAAAGCCCCGGTCCAAATCTGCGATCGATGCCATGATCTGCTGCATCATAACAAGGCCGTTCCTGCTATTTCGCCGACTATGGATTCCCTGCGGGCGTATTTGGATGAGTCGCCTCATAAACATAATCGGATTTATCATGTTGTTGATGCGGCGGATTTCCCTATGTCTGTTGTGAAGGAGATCTACGATACGCTGGGGATCATGGATCCGCGGTCGAAGAATCGGCGCTCGGCGACTTATAAGTATAAGAGCGGGAAGAAATTGCCGACTATTAGTTTTGTTATTAATAGGTCGGATCTGTTGGCCGCTACGAAGGAACAGGTTGATTCGAAGATGGAGTATGTACGGTCTGTGCTTCGTGATACGTTTGGACTCTCGCATGAGGAATTCCGCTTGGGCAATGTGCATATGATTAGTGCTCAGCGGGGATGGTGGACGAAGAAAGTTAAGGAGGAGATTAGGGAGCATGGGGGTGGGATTTGGGTGATTGGGAAGGCCAACGTTGGTAAAAGCAGTTTTATTGAGGCCTGCTTTCCCAAGGATTCGCGGAATCTCGAGAAGATTGCGGAGTTGATCGAGCTCCGTGAGGAGGAGTCCAAAATCGCTACGCACTATGACCCTTCTGCTATTGATTCAGAGGGTCTTCTACCCCCTGCGCCTCGGGAGGATTTATATCCTATTCTCCCTGTGGTCTCTTCTCTAGCCGGCACGACGGTATCACCTATTCGTATCCCGTTTGGCCGTGGAAGGGGCGAGATGATTGATCTGCCGGGGCTCGAGCGTGGCGAGCTGGCCGACCATGTCCGTGATGAGTTTAAACGCGATTTGATCATGACCAAGAGGAAGAAGCCTGAACGCCTCTCGATCAAGCCTGGCCAATCACTACTTCTCGGAGGAGGTCTCGTCAGAATTACGCCGATGAACCCTGAGGATGTCGTGATGGCAGCTTGCTTTGTCCCGCTTGAATCGCATCTCACCAGAACCGAAAAGGCTATTGAAATGCAAACGGAGCAGCGCCCTTACCCCAAGACCAATATTGCCAGAGAAGGTACCGGTCAGGTCATCTCGTCTGCAGGTGTTTTTGACCTGAAATGGGACGTGACTCATTCGCACCTCCCCAGGTCTATCGCCAAGGCGGTTGAAGATGGGCATATGAAGATGCCGTCTCTACCATACAAAGTAATGTCGACCGATGTTTTGATCGAAGGATGCGGCTGGGTTGAGCTTACAGTTCAAGTTCGAGCCAAGTCCGCGAAGGAGTCTGATTCTGAGGATGAGACGTCAAAGTCGTTCCCTCAAGTGGAAGTTTTCACTCCGTACGGCCGCCATGTTGGATCTCGTCCTCCGATTGAATGTTGGAAGTTCATAGAAGCGAAGAAGGTCGCTGACAACCGCGCGAAGGGACCTCGGGGACGGCAGAACATTGGACTGGAGAAGCGAGCTCGGCTCAGCTGAGATGGTCTTCCAGCATGGATGACCTTGTATAGTATATGATTTGCATAGCGATTGGTGTTTCAACGGTGTATACTAGAAAGGGATAAACAATGTTGTATTATAATGATTGGGGTTGTGTGGTGGTGGTTGATGTATAAATAGATCATCGATTGTTGGTGAGCAGCTTATTAGTTTATCATCTAGTGCCTTCGTTCACGTGGGCTTCTTCCCTCTTCATTCTTCCTCCTTTCTTCTCACTCCCAACCTAACCTGCATGTCTCACGCCTGTTTGAGTTCATTTCCCAAATCTAGGTTATTATCTAATCCTGCTAGTATTCCCACCAGTGGTTGCGCTACAACCCCTCTTCACTACGTGTACTACATAGTAAGCATCCGCTCCTCGAACAATACACAATCGCTTCAGCTGTATACCAACGTTATATAGCTAACAAACACATCCCATAAGGAAACTTTCGACAATGCTCTCGTCTCGAGGCAGCAATAATGCGCAATTGCACAAGATCCCGTGGCGCTATGCTCTACCGCACAAGTACAGCAAAGAGACGAATCCGGAGGGGATGATATCATTTGCATTAGCAGAACATGTAAGTTACCTGCGAAATGAGGCAACAACTCCAAAGTACTTATAAGCAGATAGGCACCAATGCGCGCAGAAATAGCCAACTACATCAACACCAAGGTCAATATCCAGCCCTCTCTCTTTTTCCTCTGGAACTCAGCAATCCCAACCAATATCTTCTACATGCTTAGGTCGAGTTCAACGTAGCATCAGTTGCCTATACCTCTGGTAACAATGCCATCCATCGTCTACAGAAAGCAGTCGCAATGCATCTAAATAATCTACTCGATCCCATTGCTCCAATTGAATCGGAAGAAGTCATTGTTGCCAGCGGCGCAACTGCAATAGGGAGCATGCTTGGATTCACCCTAGCCGAGCCAGACGAGGGCATCTTAATCAGCAGGCCAGCTTATGGGCGATTTGAGCTTGATTATGGTGTCGAAGCGGGTGTGCAGATGGTATATTCAGACACCACTGTGGAGGAGGCATTTGCTCCTTCTGTTGTCGAGAAGTATGAATTGGCCCTGAGAGATGCTCGGGCGAGAGGTGTGCAGATCCGGGCATTGATGCTAGTGAATCCGCATAATCCTACCGGTATGGATAACCACTTCGTTGCTTATCAATAACGTAGCGTTGACACTACGTCTAGGCCTTTGCTATTCTGTTCAAACCCTAACGGAGATTCTCAAGTTTTGCAATAAGCACCAGCTTCATCTGATCAGCGATGAAATTTATGCTTCATGCGTTTTCGATTCCGGAGACCCAGATGCCGTTCCATTCACCTCTATATTATCCCTCAGTACCCCGAAGCTGATCAACCCTGACCTGGTGCACTTGTTGTACGGATTCAGCAAGGTATGCCGTACCTCGTTATCTTCTCTGCTCATTAGAATGTGTCTAACATATATGATCTCAGGACTTCGCGTCCGGCGGCCTCCACCTAGGCTTCCTTATCACAAAGAACAAACCCCTACGTCATTCCTGCAATGCAATCCTGTAAGTTCATGCTACTACCTGCCCGACTCGCAACTGAAAGTCAACTAATTCTACTCGTAGACGACTCCACAGCGCCTCCACAGCAGCCGTAACAATCGGAACCACCATCCTCGAAGATCAAGACTTTGTTCGCGACTTCACTGCCAAAAGCCAACAAAGTCTTGCTTCAACATACCGAATCGCAACATCAACTCTCGCTCGAGAGGGCATCAGCTACATAAAGGGAGGGTAAGTCAAGATGTGTCCAGAACTCATTCCAAAACTATGTTCAATATAGCAACTTATATTGTTCCCTCCAGAAACGCCGGTTTCTTTATATATATCGACCTATCATCCTATCTCCCCAAAGATACCAGTGACAGCACATCTCCGCCTGAATTCACTCTCGCTCAGAAATTCGTCGATGCAGGTGTATTCCTGCATCCGTGCGAAGAGCATGGGAACATCCCAGGGTGGTTTAGGCTTGTCTATGCGCAGGAGGAGGATGTGTTGAGGGAGGGGCTGAGAAGGTATGTAACGATATCATCTGTTTCCCAGTCTACTACCTTTTGACTTTGAGATATCGTAGGCGGGGTTAGGCGTGACGCTAATGATATATATTACAGGATGATCGGGGTACTAAATAGTTTGGCATGAACGATCTAGTCTTTTTGGCTTCATTGCCTGGTGAAACCTTCGTCCTGTGAAATTGCAATAAGTATGATGTTATCGTTAGTAGTATACTATGTCTACCCAGAAGTGACAACAAAACTACAAAGCATTACTAAATCCAATCAACAAATCTAACATAACCCAATGAAATTGCTATTTTATGATCTTTCACTAAAACAAAAGAAAAGAAAACATGAAACCCATCAAGATATCTCATCTAATCTGTATCATGTATAATCATCACCATCTTCATCTTGATCATCTACTCAATATTGGCAAAGTTGAAAGAAGGCTGGCCAGGAACGGCATTCTCAGCCTGCAGTCCCTCCCTCTTCTCACCAGTACCAACAACCTCACCAGTCTTACCACCCTCATCGACAGCAACAATCTCCAGCTCCTTGGCGCCAGTAACACGCTTGATAGCAGCAACCATCTCGCTGAGGACAGCGAACTCATCGAAAGGCAGCTTGCGGTCGAAGACAGCCTCGGGGACTTCCTTGTCGACAACGAGACGCTTCTTGAGTCTCTGGACGAAGGGCATAGCCTTCTTCATCTCGCCGAGCTTGCCGACCTTGGCATTCAGCTCCTTGTCGTTGAAGGAGATGCTGACTGCGTCGAAGGCTTCGCGCACAAGGTCAATGTACTTCTCCTGCCAGACGGGGAACTTCTTGGCCGCGTAGATGCTGAGCTTCTTGGGCTTGCGGGGGTCGAAGGCAGTCTGCTTGCCCTTGGAGAGCTTCTTCACGAAGTTGGCCTCCGCGGAGGTGATGCTGGAGGTGGTCGAGCGGGCGTAGTCAAGGGCTGCGGACAGCTCGAGGGAGGGCTCGGGGACCTCGGGGAAGCGGGCGTGGTGGATGGTCGAGGGCTGGATAGGGTGTTAGTGGGGGTGAGATGGAGTGGGGTTATGGGGTAGGTACGAACCTTCTTCAGGATCTCGAGCCAGATGTGCTCGGACCAGTGAGGAGCAATGACGGCCATCATCAGAGCCTGCAGCTCGATGTAGCGGAGGACGACGTCACGGTGCATGCCAATGCCGGCAGTGGTGGTAGCTTCACGGTAGAAGTCACGGGCGCTGACCAGGTCGTACAGACCGGACTTCAGGGCGAGCTTGAAGTTGGTGCTAGAAGTAGTTAGCTTCATGAAAGTCCAAGTGGAAGTCAAGTGAAGCAAAATGGAGAGTTTTTATGAAGGGTCCATCAGGCATGTGGTGATGTTTGTCTCATGGCCGTGAAAGGCTCTGAAGTAGCAAATACGTAGAATATGCGAACATCATGTGGACAGGTGGTTGCGGGATTGTAGGGGGATAAAAGATAACTTACTCCTGGTAGTGCTTCTTGGTCTCACGGACAAGGCCGTTAAGCTCGTTGTCGAAGAGCTTGTCCCAGAAGGCATCGGCGGGGCCGGTACGCAGGGACTCGTCCTTGACAACTTCCTCCATCCAGTCCTTGAGAGTGTGGAGACGGAGGATGTTGCTGTTAGCGACGGTCTCCTCGAAGTTGGCGTCTTCGATACCGTCACCAGCATCGGCGAAGGCGATACGGGTGGCATCAGCACCGAACTTGTCGACAGCATCCTTCAGGGTAAGGAAGTTACCCGTACTCTTGCTCATCTTCTCACCGTTGAGCAGCAAGTGTCCGTTAGCACGGACACCGCGAGGCCAGTACTCAGGAGGGAAGAGGGCGACGTGGATGTACAGGAAGAAGGTCAAGTGGTTCTGGATGAGATCCTTTCCGGAAACACGGACGTCCAGAGGGTACCAGTACTCGAATTCTCTACGCATCTTCTGCAGAGCCTCCTTGCTGATACCGCTCTTGGAGACAAGCTCATCGCTGAGCTCACGTCTGGTGAAGACGTAGTCCCAGACTTCGTCGATCATCTGCTCGGCCTTCACGTTCAGGGAGCCAGGCTCCTTACCGTAGCGGTCACCGTGCAGGTAGTGGGCGATGGTGTAGTAGGCCATGTAGACGGTACTGTCACTCAAACTCTCGACAAGGAACTGCTTGTCCCAGGGCAGCTTCGAACCCAGACCGTAGGTTCTGGCGCAAGCCCAGCGGTTGAGCCAGGACAGGTTCTTCTCGAAACCGTTCTTGGTTTCGTTCGAGTAGGCGTTCAGGGTGTTCACAACGTGGTTCAGGGTGGTCTTCTGCCACTCGGCGTCGTTCTCACCGTAGTTCAGGAACCACTGGCCGAGGTAGGCAACAACACAGTCATCTCCACTGCGGCTGACAACCTTGCCCATAGGGTCGGCGAAGGGGAAGGCATCACCGCTCTCGTACAGAGACTTACGGATCTTCTCCTTAACAGCGCTCACGGGCTGTCCCTTGTACTCACCGACAATCATGGTACCCTTGTAGAAAGCTTCACCATAGGCCAACTCCTTGGCCTGTGCAAGCTGGTTAACGTCCTTGGGAGAGTTGATCTTGAGCTGCTTGACGAGAGCGGGAGCAGTGAGGTTTCCGTACGTCGGAGTCTCGATGAGAGGGAAGATCTCCAGCTCAGCCCACTCCTTCTTGATACCATAGTACTCCGGCTTCTTCGCGAGATCCATCAAAGTGGCGTAATCATCGGGAGAATCCGAGGGCACGGAAGTGACAACACCGGTACCCTTGCTGGCAGAGACACCCTCCATGGGAAGGATGCGCACACCTTCAGTGTGGAAAGAAAGGGGAGCGTTGACGAGAGTACCGACATAGGCAGTTCCGGGGGCCTCAACGACAAGGGGCAGTTGGTCCTGGGACTTGAGGAACTTCTCGCCGTCGGCGAAGTAGCCCTGGAAAGCCATGTTCCAGGCAGCCCGCTTGGTGACGACGAAGTATTCCTTCTCCTTGACCTTGTAGAGACCATAGGTGATCTTGGGGCCAAGGAAGCAGCAGGTCTGTCCGTACATGGTCTCCGGACGCAGAGTGGCGGGGACGAAGTAGACATTGGCATCGTCCTCAATCTTGCCCTTGACGAGTTCGGCGATCTCAGGAGCCCACTCCTTGACCTTGAGCTTCATAGCGGTGTATTCCTGGGGACCGATACCCTCACCCTCAGTGCGGTCGTGGTCCATGCAAGGCTGTCCGTCCTTAGGAGAGTAAATGGTGTAACGGTTGCCGTACTGGATCTTGCCCAGCTCGTGAAGGCGGTTCATCTGCCAGCGCACAAAGGCGTCATAGTAGGGGTTGGCGTCGGTGGTGACGAACTGTCTGCGCCAGTCAACACGGGCACCCAGGCTGTCGAGATCACGAATGGCGAGAGGGGGGAAGTGCTGGAGCCAGTGGGCGGCATCGGCGAACTTGTGGATCTCCTCAATGGGGATACCAATAGCCAGCATGATCTGGAACTGGTACTTCATCTTGACGGTCTTGGCAGCGGCCTTGCTCTTCTTTCCGGAGAACTTCTCCTGCTCAGCCTTAACCTCCTGGGTGGGAGCGGCAACGGCGGCCTTGTCCTGCTCCTCAGACTCTTCGCTGTAGCCTTCGAAGTTCTTGCCGAACTTGGCGACTTCATCCCGGAGCTTGTCGGCACAGGCCTTGATGGGCATACCAGTGCAGTGGAATCCGAGAGGGAAAAGGGCCCTCTTGCCCTCCATGCGAGCAACACCGGTCATGAACTCGACCTTGCTAGCAGTGAAACTGTGACCGGCGTGAAGGGTACCGTTCATGTAGGGGTAGGCCATGGTGCCGAAGAACTTGGGGTGCTTCTCACGGAGCTCAGCGGCGGACATGCTGCCGAAAGGCACCTCCGTCTCGGAGGGAGCATCGACCTCAAAGACCTTGTTTGCCTTCCATTGGGCCTGGTACTTCTTCTCGAGGGCAATAAGGGTATCTCTCTTCTCGGTCTATGCAGATAATACATGGTCAGCTCAATCCAGGTCAAATCGGGTCCCTTGGGGGACAAAGAGGGGCATGTGAGGCAGACATTCTCGAGTTTCATAGTGTTTTTCGTGCCCTGCTCGAGCGCAGCTGCAGACGCAGCGGCGGCGGCGGCGGCTGCCATGGCTCCGGATGTAGAAGGATAAATCTGACAAACTGGAGATAATGAGCCCGAGGGCGAGGAGGGAGAAGGGCAGCGTTATATAGATCGAGCGACTGGAGTCACCGCGGGGTCGAAAAGAATTACTCCGAATGTGGGAAAAGGCGGTCCGTGAGTCACCGCCTGCCTCATCCGGTATCGGAGCATGGGGATATCCTAGTATCAAGGGCGATGGCTTCATTGCTCAGCCTCTTTCAGGTAATTAAGATATGGCAGGTGGACCTTGAATGTGGAATGATTGTTCTAAGTTGTGAGTCACAACTTTGGTGCAATTCTTGGAGTGAATGATGCATGTTGGAGTCATCACGCTGTAAGGGAAGGCTGAACCGGGCAGGATTAGACTCGGTGAAAGCGAGTTCCTTTGGAATTTGAACAACAGAATGGAGAGAAGACTTGGGCATTGTCTGAACTAGAAGGTGCTAGGCGTCTGGGTTCTATCAAAGGAGTCATCACCCAAAGTTGCCAATCAATAAGAGACTATCATCAACATCGCCGAAGCACATTGTCTTAGCATCACGTGATCTGATATCGGCTGCTTTTCTTTCCGCCGGGGATCCCAAAAATCAACGGGAGACAGCTCCGAATCAGCAGCCATCTAACCACCCCGTCGTCGGCCCATCCAGATCAATTACAGCCGGGCGCGACCTGAAAATCCCATCCCTTGACATATCTTCCATCAGAAAGTAGTCGCTCAGGCGCTCCAACCGTCACAATGGTCAACCTCTTCAAGCGGATGCGGAAGCTGAAAACCGTAAGTTGACCACACATCACCCATTATCAATGACCCAGATACTGACATGGCTATTCAACAGAGGGTATGTTCTCAATCTACAATCTCACCCAGCTGCCTTTGAACCCTCATCACAACCCGACAACCCCAATCCCTACCCACCGATGCCATCCCTCCCATATCGGAATCAATCAACCAACCCAACCATCCACCGGAGGAACCCATCAAACCCAACCCTACTAACACCTCATCCCAGCTCCTCAACATCCAAGTCGGCACCGGAGCCGCAACCCTCCCCACTGTCGCAAACGCCTCTAAAGAATTCCCCGCCATCACGCGGCTGCACCTCACATACGCCCGCAAGATCTACGGCGGGCACCAAGGCGCGCGACATTTCTGGCGCAACTGCCTCCCCCGACTCAAGTACTACAACCCAGCGATTCCCATGACGGTGCGCCAAACAGAGGAACAAGAAGGTCCCGCCGCATTGACGATCTACTTCGCCGAGCGCGCCAGCAACGCCGCATCCCTGCTCTCCGCTAAGGACGTCACGGACAAGCATGCCCCGGCCCCCGGAGAGGCGGAGCAGGCCGCTGTTCTGGATGTGAAGAATCTCGACTACAAGGATATCTGGGCTAAGATGAAGAACATGACGGGCGCGCAGGAGATTCAGCCTACTCCGGAGCAGGAGTCTGAGTTGCAGAAGTTGGAGCAGTTGAGGCAGCAGAGTGATAAGGATCGCGCGCGTATAGCAGCTATTCGTCAGGCTAAGGCGGATCAGGAACGGATGTTGCAGGAGGCTAGGGGTGAGGTGGAGAAGTTGAGGCAGTTGTAGGAATGATCTTTTGAGTGGTGATGTGGATGGGTGATTTGGCTTGTGTGGGAATATAGTATACGACCTTGGGGCGTCGTGTCTTGTAGCATAGCATATATCTCTCTGTATTATTCCTGTTCGATTATGTAGTTTGGGGAAATTTCTTTTCTTTCTGTTGCAAGTATACATTGTGCTTTGCTGAGATCATGGGTATATGGTATTGTTAAGGATGTTATGTAGTGTGGCGGTCTACTATTTTCCCTTCACAGGCTCTGCACTAGTGTATATGTATGTGATCATGTTCATTCATCATTGTGGAAAGGAAAAAAGGTAGAAGACATTTTGTACAGTGAAGGCCAACAAGCCCCGCCCCATGTCACACAATTGCACTTGTTGGGAAGACCTCACTTCCTTGCAAAAGAAAATCCAAGGTTGGTATATGACAAGGCTGAACAGCAGAAACACTTTACGTTGCATTGTTCCTTTGCATTCTATCCCAAACAACCGACCAAACTCCATGAAACCATGCTTTGTAGAGTTGCTGCAGCTTCACGCATGGTCGGGGGTATAGCTGGTTTCTCCCAACATACTCTGGCCCGCTGAGACTGTGGGTGTCGGAGTCTGAGTATGGCTGGATCCTTGCTGATTCGCTGCAGACGTCGCTGGCTGCACCCTTCCTGCTGCTGCTGCTGCTTGAAGCCTCTGGTCGAGAGCCTTGAGTGCTAAAGCACGTCTGCGCTCCGCTTCTTCCCGCTTCGCCATGGCCCGTCCGTTGCGATGGTTGGAAAGAAGACTGGGAAGACCTGCCTCGCCGCGTGCCAGAACCTGCTGGTTACCCGAGGCAATGTCTTCCTCGGAGAAGGGTGTACAGATCCTGACGGCGACCAGCAGAGCATAAACTTGATCGGATAGAAAGGCGATTGGTGGCTGAAGCACGTCCGGGAAGAGGCATGCAAACGCAAAAGTCTCGCTGGCATCACCCTTGATGCCTAGCCCATCGGTCGATGTGCCGGTAAGATCAGGCTGGCGTTTATAGAAGCGAAGGTAGGTCCAACTGGTCAAGAGGCCGAGCCAGGCAAGAATCGCTGCGACATGCGTGCCAAAGACAACCCCGCTGATCGTGTTCAGGAACAAAAACAGAGCGGGAAAGTGCTTCACCCGCATTTTGACCAAGCCTTTGAAGATAGTCACCGTATGCTCAGGGACAAGTTGTTTGAAAGCGACCAGGAAGGATGCTTGAATCGAGATACCGCCGCATATCTGCGTGAGGCTTGAAGTCGGTGAGTCAGTAGGGAAAGCGCAAGATGTTGTGCATTCGTCATGAGAGAACAAGGCGTACCCGCTGCTGGAGCCGCTCCTGAGGGCAGCTCCTAGAATATAGAGCGGAACAATCACCACGTTCGGGATGACGGCGATGGCTAGGATAAACTTCGCAAACTCCCGGGATCCCCATGCGCGCTCCAGGTATTTTCCGCCATAAAAGAGAGTGGCCGCGTTCAGAAGCACGGTGAAGATGTTCTGCTCCACAAATGTCGCAGTAAGGAGGGTCCACGGATAGAAAAGAAATTGTGAAGGAACGAGTGTCAAATAGGGTATAATCGGGGTGATGGCGGGTGCGCCGGGCGTGGTGTCAAGTTGCCGCCATCGGGCGATATTATACAGCAAGGAGAGGGTGAGAAGGCTGATAAGACAGATGCGGGTCGCTGGAGGGATATTGACTCGAGGCGCCATGGTGTCAGAGGACGCTCTTGCGGCTATTCAACCGCAGGCTGTTGACAGAGCCCAACGGGGGTTGGGGGAAAGGAAGTGTGGGAAGGAGAAGTGAAATGCATCCAGACCAGATGATCCGTACTACGAGCTGGACTCGCTGGTGACTAGTCGCTCGGGGCGGCGTTGGGGGGAGTTCCATTTTCGGACAAGCCTGCAAGGACGGGATCGCGTCTCTCTGATTGGATACCTTGCATGGCATCCGCAAGGCCGCCATTCATGCCTCCGCCGTGGCATTTGTTATTATTGAAAGGCAACAATGCATCCAGTCATCGGGAAACATGGATGACCAGCGGTTGTCTACCTACCACCATTGGATTTGTTGCGGAAAATAAGTTGGCGTTGAAGTTTTTGTGTATAGGACAGGATCTGCTGACAGACACCAGTCGCATCGACAATGACTCTACTGATCATTTACCTTTCATATTTCAGCCTACTACGAATCAGCCTGGCATGAACTGATAACGAGTCAAAATAACTATCGGCGCCATTTCCGCTCAATAAGCTCCCGGGTCTCCTCAATAATCCCTTCTCAGGTCTCACACTGGCTATTGTGGAAGTCTTCTAGAGAATGCATGACAAAAAGAACCCGTGTCAGGGGAGGAATTGAGATTAAACCGATCGCATGGGTCACGTGTGGCTTAAGCGCTGGGGTGTGGCTCAGCCCAAGGGAGATTTACAGTGATGTCCTAGTTACCCACCCGCCAGACTTTCTAAGTGGACCGACCATTGAAGAAAGAGCGAAGAAAGTGCAGCTAAGGTAAGCAAGCTTAGACTGCTTAGCACCGAGAGTCGTATGGGGGAGACCTTCACAGCAACCTATCTGCCGGCGGGGGGAATGGATTCCAGCCCACAATCATCAATGCATGCATGTACAGAACTCCAGAAGGATGTACAACTGATCGGCATTCCTAGCAGACGGGTGAACTGCCCCCAGATTTAGATCCAGGCTATCAGCTGGCAGGAGAAAAATTGAATCTGGGCATGAAGCAGACCACTAACTCAGATAGTCTGTGTTAAGACTGCATTTGGGTGATTTGATCTCTCATATTTAGTCATATTCTCCGAAAGTCAGTGAAATTATCGCCCTTCAACCAAGTATCATGACTTTAGGCAGTCTTTTATTCTGCAGATGAACAAGGTAAGAACTAAAGCGACATCATCTGTAGGTACCATCCCAGTAGGTACATGACCGACATCCTGCCTAAGGTATCTAACTGGCCACGATCAGTACCTTCAAGGAAGGGAAAATCAAAAATTAAAAATTAAAAACCAAAAAAATGGTGGAAAAGGAAAAAAGGCCACGAAAAATGCGCAAAATGCACAGAAATCCTGCGAACGACAAAGGGAAAGGGCCAATCGAACCATGAAAGGGCCGGTGCCGGCTAACCGGAAGAGGATAAGCGTCGAGGCCGATCGGGAGGCCGTCAGAAGGACCGAATGGAGCAGTTGGACCAGTTGGGATGGACCAGGGGCCCCAAAGTGGGTTGGAGGGCAGCTGCACGCTAGCCGTGGCCTAGACGCCACAACGAGTCAAGCCCACCCCCCGAAAAAGTCCCAGGCCCAAATGCCCACTCCCGGTGCGTTCAGCGTCTGAAACAGCGTCCCAGAGCCGCGCCTGGAGAAATTCCAGCTCTGAATTTTTCTTTTCTTTTTTGCTCTTTTTTTTTTACCCTTGGCCTGGTTGGGCGTGGTTGGACCCGTAACTCTTGACTAAACCTTTAGACGGACTTCACAGCGGCGTGGAAACTGTCTTGTCTTGTCTTGTCTTGTCTTGTCGTGACTGTGAGGGTCAAAACTGTCGAGTGTCGAAAAAAGTGCCAGTCGACCAAGTACCTACGTACCTTTACGTACCTTCTAACCTAGCCTAATTAACTAACTTGACACTGACTAACTAACCTACCCTCACTTTGTTCTTCTCGACCCCTACCACCTCCACGATCCTACGACTGTACCTTACCTGGTCTGGTCTGTTCGAACTACCTTTGGCACTAACTAACGGGAGTTCCTCATACGCTTCCCTGGGGTCATCGGCCGGTCGTGTCTTGTCTGGCTTGTCTGTCGGTCCCATAACTCTCTTTCTCCATCATTTCGTTTCATTCACCCGCTCCGGATCTGAACTGCTTCTCTTTCTTCCCTTTCTCTTCTTCCTCCCCGTCTATCCGTCCATCCGCCTTCTTCCACTCTCCCCGAAGGTTCTGGTGTTGCTCCCTCCGGCCTTTGCAGTTCGCTAGCGGGTCTGCTATCTTTAAGCCACACGTTGGTGTCGATTTCCTCCCGTCCCGATATTATTCGCTCTTCACTCCCTCCCTCTCTTCCATTCTCCCTTCAATTTGTCCCTCTGTCTCAAAGAACAGTCTTTCGTGTTCCTTTCACCATATTTCACCAACCCCGTCCAACAACAAGGCGCATGTAGAATGTGCTTTTGTGACTGGTCCTCGGTTTAGTTTTTCTCACGCCTAATCCGCCAGCCTGCGTTTTTCGTGTTTTACTCACATCCGCCCTTCCTCAAGTACCGTCTGAACTGAACGTCTCCCTTGTCACAGCCTTGGCTGCATCTTTCCCACTCGGACCCTCCCCTCTCGTCCAGAGACCTCCTGTCTCTCATTCAGGTTCTGTTTGAGAGGGAAGCTGTCAGAAGAGTTTTCTTCCTCATCTAAACCTTTGGTGCGCTCGACTTGGCAGCATCTCGGACCATTGTACTCTCCAGTCCCTGCCTTGCAGCAATCCCCGCCTTAATCCTTTGCTACCTTTCACGGAGAAAGCCTTTCGTTTTTGGCATGCTAGCGGACCCTCCACCTTACTAGCTGTCATACATGTAACAATGGCACAACCCGATCTCACATCGCATCACGTCAATTACCTAATATGGAGGTATGTATCAGAGTCCCTTTGCAACCTCGTTCTGCCGTAACACGTACCTACCATGCTGCGTCATTGGGTTTCTCGACCGTTTGTATGCATTGCTAACTTCCATATAGGTATCTTCAAGAGTCAGGTAATATTCTTTCCCTATGATTTGGTGCTTATCCTTTCTTCACGGGAAAAGCAAACTAACTTTCCCACAGGGCATGGCGAGGCTGCACTCACCTTACAGCGCGCGTGGAATCGTGACCCGCAGAGTTTGCCGTTTGCCCCATACATTAAAACTCATGCTCTAGTATCCCTGGTACAAAAGGGCCTGCAGTATCATGAACTAGAGCATTCGCTCGACAGGGTATGATATTCATTGATATTTTTGCTACGCGCCTCAAGATTTTTCGAGTAACATGCATACACAAAAAAACATAAGAACTAATAAAATGAACAGGATGGAAATCCTACGGCCTTCACATCGTCTGACTACTTTTTCGGGCCTACGCCGCTGGAACCCGAAACTGAAAAGGGTCAAAGTGGCCCCGGAGAGGCAGGCGTTGGCACAGACCAGGCGCCTGTCTCGCCTACAAGCAAAGTTCCGCGAGATGGCGGCGTGATTAACGGTCACTTGACGGCCGAGGCGGCGGCGGCGGCACCCCAAGCACCAACAGCACCAGCACCAGCACCACCTCAAGCTCCCGCCGGCGTGAAGAAGCCGCACAAGAGCGGAGAGACCAACGGTGATGAAACTCCCATGGAAATTGACACTAATGGAGTAACGACTGAAAATAAGTCCGAGGTAGTCGATGAGTTGCCTCCAAAAGCCGACATGGAGGTGGACGGTGACGGAGATGTGAGCATGGGCGGCCGACCGGATTCGCAGGACCAGGAACCAGAACCAGCACCAGTACCAGCACCGGTGGCGCCGACCTTCACGTTAACCACCGGCCACAGCGTTGGCGTCCAGATCACCCCCGCCAAGGCCGCCGACCTTGGGCCCAACACCGCCATCCTCGATCTGGCTAGTGACGATCACGTGACTCGCACCCTCTGGCGCCCTCGGGACCCTACTACCGTCGTGGCCGCCGGTGATACCTTCTGCAGCCTGTGGAGGCTGTCTTCATCCTCGGATCCGGTACAGGAGAAACTCGTAGCGAACAAGGGGGATAGCACCTGTGTTTCGGCTGTCGCCTGGGACCCATTGGGCCAGAAGCTGGCCGTCGCGACCTACAATGACATGAGAGGCTCCATCACCATGTATGACGTCTCTGGAAATGCGGTCGATCTTCTTCCCGAAGTACCGCGGATGATTACTGGGTTGCACTGGGCGGAAAGCGGGTCCCATTTGATCGTGGTTGCCTCGGACAGCCGAATCTCTGAGCTAGCGCTCTGGGACGACTCATTACGACCGGACGAATTCCCATCGCCTCAGGTTATCGAGGGATCAATCTTTGACCTTTGTTGGTTGGGCTCCAACCAGGCTTTTGCTTGTGGTAACGGGACGGTCTATCAATGCGATGTCGATTCGAGTATCCACATCGCCAAGACGTTCTCATCTGGCGACCCTGACCAGCCGTGGTCATTCATCCGCTGTGCAAATGCCGGCTCTTCATCCGTGGCGGTAACTGCATCTTCCGCCAATGCTACACTATGGGTGCCTACCCATGACATGCGCCATGAGGGTGCCCATGAAGGCGACATTACGGCCATCGAGCTGAAGCCCAATATGGAACAGCAGCAACAACCAGAAACAGCACAAACAATCGTTTTGGCCACTTCCTCCACCGACGACACGGTCAAGGTATGGCATTTGGATCTGGAGTCCAAACAGTTCAACTGTATCCACCGATTGTTTCTCGGCCCGTCGGCACCCGCTCTCGCTAGCACTTTCTCTCCCGACGGATACGCCCTTGCTGCTGCCAGTAAAGAGAGTTTGTTCATCTGGAATGCACAGCGAGGAGGCACTGCGCTGGCCACATGGAAAGTGCCGGGTCCCGGAGAGCAGAAAAAGGAGGAAGAGTCTAGTCCCATGGTGAATGGACACAATGGCACTGCGGAGTCGGTGCCGGATCGCAGTCTAGCGTGGGATACCGATGGCAAAAAGCTTGCTTTTGGCTATGGAAACCAGGTATGTCGTCCTGGCCGTTACGTGTGAAACATTGTCACTGATTATCGTTCAATAGCTGGCCATCGTAAATCTGCAGCGCTGATTCTTACGAGACGTGCGAGCCGGCTGCGTTACGAACTTTTACTTCTCGATAGTACATTAAGAAAATGGTAAATAAAGCCATCCGATACACATTTGACGTTATTATTTTTGCGACGAAGGCAGGCCGGACTCATCCCTAGCCGGGTGCTGCACACTTAGCGTCGGCACCTCTGCTAGCGCTCGTCTCTCCGCTCCCGGTTCTCGGCAGGCCCCGACGTGCCATGATGTGGGAGCGTGTTCAGACATCCTTGTCACTCCAGAGATCCTTCAATCTACTTTCAGTACCATAATCTCTAGTTCTACCCCCATGATTTTGGATTAGACCATACTAAACGGCGCAGCTTGGGTCTTCAGGAAAAACGCGGTGGTGGTTGGCAACTCTACATGGTTACGGTGGCTACATTGACTTCTTTCTCTTTGCCTCTTTACTTTCTTGCACTGTACCATTTCTTCTTGGACAGATCGATCAGTGATCGCCCTAAGCTCGGTCTTCAGGCGAATGATTCAGCAGCCTTCTCATCCGCTGCGGTGTGGGATGATACGTTTGATACCCAATCACAATATCTCATTCCCGCCTTCGTCCTCATCGACCAGCGTCCCATTCCTGCCGAAAATTCATTTCATACGTATTTTGCCCGTGTCTTCTGTCTTTCTTCCCTTCTCAAAGTGCGATTCTGCTCTCGGATGCGAAAAACCTCCTCGACGTCCTTCCATCCTCGCATCCATGCCGTTATTCCCTCGAACAGGGCTTCGCCGTCGCCCTCGACCTCTTCGACTTTGCATTTCGCCCATCTTCGTTGGCCATTTCGCCGTGAGGCAGCATTCTGTTTCTTAGCGGCAATCAATAGGCGCTGTTTGTGCCATTCATCCACCCAACTCTCGAGCCCTCGTATCGTGCCTTGGATCGCTTCCCGCTCAGCGGTGTCTTCGAGGATGTCTGTATTTCTATGATTACAGGATATGTTAGCGATCCTGGCCACAGCATAAACCGACAAGTCCCTGGGGTTCCTCACAGTTCGTGAATTTCATCATCTAGTTCGCCGATCTTCCGGGCTAGTGTTTCGCGTTCTCGTGTGAGCAACTCATATATCTCGGACGACTCCTTGCGACGACGGTCGAATTCCACTTTGAGTGTCGTAACCTCTCTCAAGATATCCTTGAGAGGAGGGTGTGACATCTCTTCGAGCGAAGCGACAGAATTGCCCAAATCTTGGGAGTCGGTCGTGGAGATGGAAGCGATGGAGTTGGACTGTCGGGAATGGCTTATAGGACGGCATCGGGCGAGCTCTTGCGTCAAGGCTGGGCGTGGGTCCAGCAGGGACTCGAGGGTCTCGAGACAGTGATGAAGGGTCATGGAGTCGGATTTGGAGGTCGGATTGAAGTGGGATGCCAGATGGGCTAGTCTTGTGAGACGCGCGGAGACGGGAGCGGCGGTGTTGTTGGAGTCGAGGATATGGGAGGCATAGTCGGGGTCCGTGAGCGCCATGTCCCAGATCTGGCCCGCTACCGAGGAAGGAGGGGATAACTCATCGTAATGAGATGGAGGCGGGTGTTCCATGGTTGGCTAGGGTTAGGACCATGTAATCTAATGATTTGATTGTTTCTCAGAAAGAGGTTCAGTAAATACAGGCGTGCGTGATGAAAAGGGTAGTAGTCGGTAGCAAGGAGGGATGTCGGGCTGCAGCCAGGCTGCACGGGCTGCAGGAATATACGTGTCTTGCGCTGTCAGTATGAACGATGAGATGTGGGTAGCTTTCTGTTTATAGGCCCAGGTGCAGAACAACTCACTCTAGTGCGGTCAGTTATGATCTGGCTGTGGAGTTGTTGTGTTCGAGAGAGTGTAGAGGGGACAATCAGCCAGCCGCGGGCGACGGGGATTACTTCCACAGCAACCGGGGCAAGGATGACAGGGATTGGAAGAGCAGAGAAGAAGGAACAGGCAGATCCCAGCTGAAGAGCACGTGCGCCCTCAGATCTCCCCCAAAGATGATCTCGATTCCCGATGGGTAGCAGCAAACACAAACACTGCCACCTGCAATAAAGATACGTCGGCAGGCTTCCTTCAGAGAGAAAAAGACGGTCAAACCGGTCGATTCGATCAACCTTCGATAACCATTCCTTCCATCCACGCTAGCCCGCTTTGGGGTCCCAGAAGTCGAATTGGCCAACAATTTGCCGCCTGCCATTTGAACCTCGACGATCTGTCATCCTTCCTATAAGAGATAGTCAGTCCTGTTGGTTATCTCTGTTAGTTTGCAACTGCTCATATCGCCCAATAAATTGTGGAGCTGCGACGGTATCGAGTAGTTGTTTGATTAAATCCTCCCCAATTTACTCCGTCCCCAGTCAGCACCGCAAATACTCCGATCCTCCGGCTTCCCGAACTTAGCCTCTTTTTATTTCTCAATCAAATCCCCCCCTCCTTCTCCTCCCCGCACAAGTCGAATTCCCATCGCTTTCGGACTCGCAAAGATGGCGCCACCTGTGAGTACCTCTTCCTTTTGTTCTACAGGCAATCACTGTTCCCATTCTTGCTACTCGACGAATTTCCCCGCGGAGGGTCATTTGATATGATACTGATTTCATGTCCCCATGTGACTCACGCAGATTACCGTCGTGCCGTCCCTCGAGACCGCCAGCGAAGTTATCGCCCAGTCGAAAAATGCGCAATTTCCTCCTAACCTCCTTCCGTTGACTACGTCGATTCCGGCCGACCTGTTGACCCCCACATTGGCTTATCTGAAGATCGCGGAGAAGTGAGTGGCGCTCGGCAAGATGGCCACATGGCTTGCGGGCAAGCACAGATGCGCTAACGTGGTCCGCTTGTCCAGATCTAAACTGTCCTTCCTCTACGAGAGTGCTGCGACGACCGAGACTATTGGCAGATACAGTTTCGTCGGTGCTGGTATGCAGCAATGTCCTTCAATGCTATAGTGTGGCGGGGTAGTCTGATAGACTGACGAACTCTGTACCTCCGTCTAGGTCCCCGCAAAATCATCAAGACCGGTCCCGGTCATGGCCCCGAGTGCGACCCCATGCCCATCCTGGAGCAGGAACTCTCTGGCTTTCGGGTTGCGACGGTGCCTGGCTTGACACTGCCCCCGCTCACTGGTGGTGCCATTGGATACGTGGGATATGACTGCGTGCGGTACTTCGAGCCCAAGACGGCTCGGCCGATGAAGGATATCCTCCAAATTCCGGAGTCGCTATTCATGCTGTTCGACACGATTGTCGCCTTCGATCACTTCTTCCAGGTCGTCAAGGTCATCACATACATTTCCATTCCCGGCAACGACTCGGAACTTGAGTCCGTCTACCGCCAAGGACAAGAGGTTCTCCAGCGGACCATTGACGTCCTTCTTCGACCAGACTACGCTCTTCCGCCCCAAGGCCCGATCATTCAGAACCAGGAGTACACATCGAACATTGGACGGGAAGGATACGAGCGCCATGTTACACGGCTCAAGGAGCACATCTCCAAAGGTGATATTTTCCAGACGGTGCCGTCGCAGCGGTTGTCCCGGCCGACGTCGCTCCATCCCTTCAACCTCTTCCGTCACCTGCGCACGGTCAACCCGTCGCCGTATCTCTTCTACATTGACTGCGAAGACTTCCAGCTGGTGGGAGCCAGTCCCGAGCTGCTGGTCAAGGAGGAGAAGGGACGGATTATCACGCACCCGATTGCGGGCACGGTGAAGCGGGGGAAGACGCCCGAGGAGGATGCGGCACTGGCCAACGAGCTGACCAGCAGCATCAAGGACCGGGCGGAACACGTGATGCTGGTGGACCTGGCGCGCAACGATGTGAACCGGGTGTGCGACCCGATCACGACGCAGGTGGACCGGTTGATGGTGGTGGAGAAGTTTTCGCACGTGCAGCATCTGGTGTCGCAGGTGTCGGGCATCCTGCGGCCGGAGAAGACGCGGTTCGATGCGTTCCGGTCGATCTTCCCGGCGGGCACGGTGTCAGGAGCGCCCAAGGTGCGGGCGATGCAGCTGATTGCGGAGCTGGAAGGCGAGAAGCGCGGAGTGTATGCGGGAGCGGTTGGCTACTTCGGGTATAACATCGCCAGCGCGGATGGCCAGACGGAGATGCCGGGGGCGATGGATACGTGCATTGCGCTGCGGACGATGATGGTGAAGAACGGGGTGGCCTACCTGCAGGCGGGCGGAGGCATTGTGTTCGACTCGGACCCGTACGACGAGTACGTGGAGACGTTGAACAAGCTGGGGGCGAACATTGCATGCATCAAGGGGGCGGAGGCGAAGTATTTGAGTCTGGAAGAGGAGAGTCGCCGTGCGTAGATGATGCACCGGTTGCCTTGCTTTTCCTTCTTGCCCATTTCTTTTTATATTCCATTTTCTGAGGTTAATATTTTTCCATTCATCCTTATGTTCTACGATTCCAGGGTTTTGCATGTGTCAGGAAGAATACCTGATAGATTATGAATTTGAGAGCATCTAACAGTACTAAGGACTTACTATGAGATTGTTAGAGTTTCTAGGGGTGAAGTAAATAGTAGTACGTAGTTTGAAGATAGTAAATATGAGTTTCATTAGATTGAGTCTACGGTTTGAAGAGGGGAGAGAAGGTCAAGCCCGACGGAACACGACGGACTGCCAATCCTGCTGCCTGGATGCATCCCCGGGAATTACATGGAGATACGAGATCGAAGATACTATCTAGATAGGCCAGTAGATTGTCAGATACGAGTTGACCCCGGGGGGAGGGAGTCCAGTTCAATTTCATTCCTTGCTTTGGGGAAGATTCTGGATGAATCATCAGTTAGTAGTAAGTTAACTACTTTACAGGGCAGCAAGGGTTTTGCTGGTCAGGAACGTGTTTTGGGGGGGGGAAGAGAGGGGACTGACTGCTGCAGTGACCCGGCCGATGACGTCGGTGGATACTTCCTACTATTTATATAATAATACCCAGATGAATCAATATTTTTATTCTATGTTTTTTATGTGCTGGTTAACACAGGGCATGGTTATACTGTAAGAATAATTCGTACTGTAGAGGCAAAAGTAATAATAATATAAGCACCGCCCCCGAACCAAGGTGGCAAGGCAAGAATCACCAATCGTTGTACGGTGTATGTATGTATGTAGGATTTGTCCGGAAGGCGAGGAATTAAACAGATGGTGTCATTTTGAAGAAATTCTGCCATGGTCTGATTGATACTTGACTACTTTTGTAACTGTCTCCATCTTTCCCTTGTTGTGGACCCTTATTTTCTTTTCCCTCCCTTCATTCTACTTCGCTATAGTCAATACATTGTATTGTACTGCCTGATCAGTACCCACGCCCTCAATTAACAATTCCCTCCTACTCTCCATCCCTTATTTCTCTCCCCCGGATTTCGATTTCCATTTTCGAGATTGTCAAATATCCTATTTGAGTTCTTCAACCCTTTTAAACCCTTCTGGAAACGAATTGGGCAAAAGAGAAGAAACAAAAAGTAAAACGGTCGTGGTTTGGATAAACTTTGGCTGGATTGAGGCTTGCGTCGTCATCTCCCGGTGTGAGTGCCCACCAAAACTGACTCTCTCTCTTTCTTTCTTTCCATCTGGTACAATCAACATCAATCCCTCTCTCTCTCTCTCTCTCTCTTTCTTTCTCCATCCATTTGAACAGTCTTCCTGGAACCCTCTCCATTCTCATCCCGTCCCCATCATTCCCTCCTTTTCCCCGTTGTGCAAGCGATCATCATCATCCATCTCTCTTTCCCCCCCCCCCTGTTTTCTTGTTAAATTAAAATAACTAGTTAGTTAACTACTGGTGTGCATCCGGCTTACATACTCCGCCGGAGTTCCTCTTCAGTTCAGCCACTCGCCAGACTCCCCCGACCTTAACGCCTTAAACAGCCACCAACTGACTGACTGTTACTACTGTCTCTCTCTCTCTCTCTCTCTCTCTCTCTCTCTCACACACACTCACCTTAATCTCCTCCTCGTCCTCCTTCACCTCTACTACCTCTACTCCCACTTCTCACTCCCCATCATCCTCCCCCACTTTCACCGCGCGATAAGGAGAGACGGGCTGGCTCTGCTCCCATCGCACTTACCTCCCCAAATCTCTCTCTTCTTCCCCCTCCCAAGCCATCGCCCGTGTGTCGCGCGTTCCCGTCCACTTCCTCCCCCCCGCGAAGGGATTGAGATCCGAGTCCGTCATTGCGAGGGTCCAGTTCCCGCCGTTACAACCTCCATCCCCCACGCCACATACACCCACCTACAATCAACCTCACCCCCTATCCACCAACTCGCCACAATGTCCAAAGTTGTGCGCAGTGTCAAGAACGTGACCAAGGGTTATTCCTCCGTTCAGGTCAAAGTTCGAAATGGTACGTCTCCGTCTGTTCCTTCGGTCCGGGGTTTCTTGGGGTCCTTCGCAATCGGGCATCATGCTACGGTGTCGGTCGGGACGGTATCCCTGACAAAAGGTCGGATTTGACATTCGGACTCTGCTAACATGTGAATTCGCTTCGTACAGCCACAAGTAATGACCCCTGGGGCCCTACGGGGACCGAAATGGCAGAGATTGCTGCCTTGACGTTTA